ACTCCAGACCTTTAGATATGTGAGTCTGTCAACCCATTGTCCAATGATAGGACCAAAGATTACAGTAGAAGCAGATTCAACAACACCATAAATGGCGGCTAGGAGAAGAGAATCTGGCCACAGGTTGATCATGTATAAACCCACAGAGAATTCCCACATTCTGCATACATTAATGGACTGAAATGACGATGCAGTAGTAAACCAAGTAGCTAGAGAAGAGAAACCAAACAAGTTGGTTTAGATTAACGAATAGCGATGTGTAATTTACAAGTTTGATGATTGTCTGTAATTAGGAAAATCAATGGAGATTAGAGAGATCGATTGGTAATTAAAATAAGATATAATTAAGATAAGAGGACGAGAAGTAAAGAACCTGGCACCGCATCTGGCTAGGAAATTGGCGATATACAAATATATGAGAAGAGAAGCGGGTGGGTGGCGGTGGCGAGGCGAAAGGAGCGATTCTGTTTGCATAGTGAGTTGACAATGAGCTTCCCAATAAGCTTTCCTGGTCTATTGAGAATATAAATATAAATATATATATATATGTATGTCTGTACTGAATATAATATCATTTTAGGCAAATAACAACAGCTGCCGTTGCAGATGGGAATCTGGGTTGGGTTCTTCTGGTTTAAATATGAGAATAAACAAATCTAATTTTGGAATCATATTTGTTCATGTATTTTCCCATCAATTTTTGTTTTTATTTTTTTCAGATTTTAATTGCACCAGCCAAAACCATACAAGTCTCTGTCAGATGAGAAATAATAAATTATATATAATCTAATCTAATGATATTAATTTCAGAAAATTATATATAACACATTTGTCTCTACGTATATGGAGTTGTTATGAAGCGCTTTTAACCACGAATATCACGACGCGAATATAGTCTAATCGTATGATCTCATTAACCATCTACTTTCTGTATTATCATGGGTAAAATAAAAGCAGTATATAAAAATATATATTATGATTTACATACCATATTCATGATGTGAATATATGGTATAAAATTTATGTCATGACTTTTTTTTATTATAGTAATAAATAATAGTTTCATTGGGTTTAATTTATTTAATTTTTTGTTCTTAAGTTTGTAAACTTTATACGCCTAGCTCGATTAAAATTTTAAACAAAAATAATTTAAATTATAATATTTAATTCAGTTGAACAGATATTTTAATTCATTAATATATTAATGAAATAATAATAAATAATTTAGATTAAATGTTAATAAAAAAGTTTTAAAATTAATCACAACAGATTAAATATTAAAATTGATATAATAATTTAAACTAAACAATTCAATTAACTTTAATCCTATTAAAAACAATTAAAAAAAAAATTATTGTAATCCATAACAGTTTAATAACTTTAACAGCGTTCGATTAATAAAAAAATATAAAATTATTTTTGACTATCAAATTATTTTCACCCTATGATTCTTACATATAATATTTGTGCATAAAGATGGTATTTTTTTTTTTTTTTTATACTTTCATTGTATGACATGTTATATCATAAAATTTTACTAATAATAAAAAAAAGGAGGTGACAAATTCTCCCTCAGTCAAGAATAACATTTTATCATCACCTACTTCTGACATCTTGTACGGGGCATTTTTTAGCTACCAATCTGCCAAAATAATCAGAGCTTAACAACTATAACTTGTTCGAATTTTCTCGTTCAAGTTCTGGCATCTGAAGTAAATGGATATTTCACCAAGAATGAGATTCTGTAAAAATAATTTTTAAGTTTGGTGGAATTTACTTTGTTAGGAAGAGAGAAATTCTGAAGAACAATGTTTAATTTAATTACAGTGGTATAGAACCCCTACTCGTCTTAACAATTAAAGAGTTATATACGACGCCGAAAGTTTTTGGAACATAACCCTCTAATGCTCAAGTTAATCACCAAAAGTTGGTAAATAATAGTAATGTAAATACCTATTGAAAGAAAAAAATGGTACGCAATTATAGGATGTGTTGCGATACCACTAACTATTGGATGTGTATGAAGTGTGTAATCTTAAGCATTAACTCTGAACTTCAACCTTCTATGTAGGGGGGGGCGGGGGTTGCTAGTTTATGGTCTCTGTCTAGGCGTTCTTGATTCTATCGGCTTAATTTCAGGCTACAATGGGTTATGCCTTTAGACTTCAGACATTGTATTCTAGGAGGCTTAGTTTTGCAACCCTATCAAATATTCATTTATCTAAAAACCAGCATTTTAGAATAAGTGAATTCCGTAAAACGTAATAGAATTATTTTTATATAGTTACGCATACATTGACACGAACCCAAAAGTATACCACAAGGCCGTCATGCAATTTGAAGGAGACAAAAAGCTCAAATTGAACCTTTCCGTAAGGACAGGCTAGAAAAGAAAAGAGAATTCTTTCCACAGAGCGTCAATCAACAAATATTATTATTTTCTTTCTGATAATGGACATACGGAATACGCAGATGCACTGTACTCGTATCTGGTTAAAAGAAAACACCAAAATCTTACTTTCAAAAGTGAAAGAAGAGACAAAATCTAGAGAAGGTCAAGAGAATTGTTACAGAAACATCCAACTCTGAAGACAAATAAATCGTTGTGCGAGTCCTACAAACAGAAAGACGTCAATGGCATTAGCAAGAGCTTAAACAATCTCAAATTGCAGAAATATTTCCTCGAAAAAAAAAAAAATGTTGAGATAAGAAAGTGGTATAAATTATTTGAAAAAATAACAGGTTTTCCATCCTCTATCCCATTGACCTTCACAAACTATAAACCAACATTCAAAATTTTCATCCTCATTCTTCCTTGTATGAAAGAAAATCTTCTCATCCCTCTCTGTCTAGAGCAAGTTACCAAGTTCTATAGAACATAACCTAAAAGCTACTTTTCCTCACATTCTGGCTGGCCCTTAATTAAGTGCATCCACATTTTTCAACCATAAATTGCAACTGCAAATCAAATTTCCGTTAGATCAGGCATTGCTGTAACCCTTCCCCTAAAAGTTTCTATTAGGTACATATTATCAAATACCTCCAGCCGTTCACAACTGTTCTATTTATTTATTATTTGTGAATAATGTCCCATACAATGTATTGATTAATAATCTTATCATACAAAACGTTAAGTCTCAGTTTTTTGTCACCTAAGCAACATCAGAGTCAGCCAACAGAGTAAAAAAATATGCCAGATGCATATAAAAAGAAACAAGCAAAGATCTAAGTGTAGAATATAAATGGATGAATATACTACTTCAGTAAAAATGAAACTGCATGTTGCAGATATTTGATCAAGCTATCTCTGAAAGTTCTTGTGTCATAAACGAAAAAATAGTGAAG